CCTTCTCGTGTATAAGAGTACGCAGTGCGTGCTCTTATGCTTTCAAAACTGCGTACTCTTAGACATACGTCAGAATTTTGGCATTATAAGCAATGTCTCGAAAAAAATAGCCACCCAATTAATTGTAGCTAAGAAAATAGTACGTAAGGTTATTTAGAAGCAAGAAATTGCATTAATCAATCTACAGAGTGAACACTTACCTCCAAAAACACTAAAAACTGACCCCTAGAAACTACAGTGTGAACAAGCGGGAACTTATAATCGCCATATTGTAAAAACAGCTTTGGTAATACAGATATCTGCTTTTGCCTGTATTAGAATGTGCAATTTACAATGGGCCGAGCCGCTCAAAATATCAAATAGATGGGAGTATATATTCAAAATAAAGGTGCGTACTCTTATACACCCGCGTACTCTTATACGCCTTTACGCACTTTACACTCGAAAAACACGTTACGATTCTCACCTACCACGACCTTAGGACGAGAACGAAAATAGTGTTGATTTTAAAACCCGTAATGTTTTGATTTATATTTGATTAAATTCAGAATTTGGTTCGTGTAATTCCAACAATAAATCACGTCGGGGTCACCACTATAAAGTTTTAATTCACAAAATAACTTTATTTATAAATCGTGTGTTCAGTAAGGCACGGGTTTTACAAGTGTAATTTATCATCTGCGCAGAAAGTCTGCCTCGCTGACCGAAAAACGCTTGCGCTCTGCAACTACATGCTGGTCCAATACCACCACATATATACCCAAATTGTAAGTTTTATATTTTTCCACAAATTTCTCTGAAGTTTTATGTTATGTAGGGCCTAGCTTATACTATTGAATGTTTAAACAGAAGCTATAGAGTGTGTTCTGATCATTTTGTTAAAAGTGATTTCAGAAATACACGATTGTTTATTCAAGGGTGAGATTTACATAAGTGTAGTTCTGAATTTATTTACTCATTAGTGTATTTGTTTGGAATAGGTTGATTAAGGGTGCCATTCCAAGTATAAAGTTGCACGGGGTTCAATTAAAGACAAGAAAAGGGCCTTTCAAACGTAAGTTACCTCAAAATGAAAACCTCGAGGCAGATGTTATGGAAGACCGTATACCACAAACTGTTGCTGAATGCCATTCTGAGCCCAAGAAAAGAAAAGGAAACATGTGCGATTCCAGTTACCAATTTTTACCAATGCATCTTTACCTTTATGTCTGTGTTTTCTTTTTTGGTGTCGATCTTACAATCGTGCCATTAAATGTTAATGTAGTGATGTGTAGAATCTAGAAAATTTGAGGATTTTTGCAGTTTTTCGAATTTTCTAATTACCTGTTAAATAAAAAAAATACAAACTTTTTAAGAACACAAAGGAAAGACTTTTAAAAACATAAACAGGTTGTTTACAAAATATATAAGCTCTTAAGGCAAAATAAAGATTTAACTGTAGGTACTGCTACACTAAAAGTTAGCTGAGAGACTTCCTTTAGTAGTTTAATGAAACCTCTAGTATTCGCATGGTTTTCGTATTATTTCTTCATTATTCACTTCCTCCAAATAAACTTACCCCACCTTACCTTATTAGAAACCTGAAAAGGCAAAGAAATTATCTACCATAAGGTACCATTACAGAAATGAGCAGATGAATATTAACTCGCTTTTTTTAGGGTATTTATTATTTTTTACAGATTATTTTGCAAAATTCTTATGGATAAACTGATAATATGATGGTATTTGATAATATCATACCCCTATGATGTTAAATACTCTTGGGAATATAAATAATTCTCTTCTTATTCATTAGTCATTGCACACCGCGCCGTAAAGATGGCGCTCATTCACGTGTCACACGTACGCAAATGCAAATAGTAGCGAGTTTCCTGTATTAATATATTAAGGTATTTGCTTCAACTACTCTAGCTCGACTTTATTGTAACAGACTACATTCTACTACCATATCTAAGCAAGAACTAACACTAGCATATCTAAGCACACCCACCACTCTCTTAACGCGCGCGCACTCCCGCCAAATACATAACAGGTGGTTTAAGCAACTTGTAAACTGAAAGCATCCGGTAGAGTTGCAGAAAATCTGTGAAGGTTGGATGGTCATTTGAACATCCAGCTTGTCTTATCAATCCAAAGAATCTCTGAAAGTGTATAAAAGTAGATGAATTACGAAGCGTGAGCATTTACAATTGAATTACGACATGCATTAGATAACATTTTAACATGCCCAAAGGTTTTCTACAAGCCAAGGAGAATAATCCGTGCTAACAAAACAGAAATGTAAAAAACTACATGCATCTGAGGCTACACCCTAGCCACGGTGACCCTAGAGTAGTGTACTCTTTTCTACGATATGAAAGTGATAAGGACGGTGAATATTATTATTCACTGTGATGACAAATTAGTAATTTATTTGGTATGAAATTAATATCGTAAATCTGCATATACTCCAAGGTACACCGAAAATTGGCAAGGAAAAAATAAAAATATATTCTAGTCCTTTAAAGATCAAAAAGAAACATGCATATCATAGTACCTCTAGTGGATCCTGTTTAAGTTTACTAGTGAGTACGTATTTAAAGTTGCACTGAGACAATAAATAGTTGCTCAAATCTATGGTTGATAAGATTGAAGCCCTAAAGCCTTCACCGGTAGATCTAGTTAAGAACTGAGTTTCTGTAATAGCGCCATCCAGAAGCATTCCTTCCCAAAAATTCAAGAAATTTAAATTGTCTTGTAATACCTTCAAAGTGACGGATAATAATAATAATAATATAATATAATAAAATTATAATGATATTTTTGTTTTGTTTTCTTCTTTCCTGATAGCGTTGACTATTGTGGCCATTAATAGCTATGTTGGTAAGTATGAATTACATACTATCCCTAGATTTCCAATGTGAGTGTGCGAATATTTATTTTATTTTTCTTTAGAACCCTACATAACTTCACCAGACACAGACACAGATACTAATCGTTACTTGATTTTAATCCGTGCGATTAGTTAACCAGGCTAGACCTGAGTTCTCACAAGAAACACCGACCATAATAATAATAGTCATCTTGTAATACCTGAAAATCTGCACTCCCCAACCGAATACCTTCATAAGAGCGTCTCCTGTTCATAGTATCAAAAAGATCGTTAAATCTTTTTGTGAACAAAATAGTTCCATTAGCGTTTTCTAATAATTTACTGGTTTTCTGATAATGCTGTATTCCGGCTACTGTAGAGTTGCTAAAAATCTAAAACATTTTGTCGATACTGTTTAATTTTCTGGACATATAAAAATGCTTACTTGTGTAGCTATTTTAACTCGCATTTTCATAAAATTATTAGGTCGAGTGTGCATGGTGGTCAATTTCGGGCATACCCGTAGATTATGGGGTAAATTCATATCCCACGCAACTAACGTTTCATAATGTCCCCAATCAGCAGTACCATCAGGCGTCTACAGTATTATTATTGATATAAGATAACCCGTGCGGTTAGGCACCCATCGGGCGCGTCCCCAGGTGGCGGATAGGGGAACGCCCACGCAAGCCCTGAATGATCGTAAGGTGACAAGTGTCTCTGTGTGGGTAGTAGCGATTATAAGTTGCTCGTCGGGGCTGAAACCCAGACTGGCAGCAACGAAGGTCGCTACCGCGGACCAACCTCCCAAGTCAAGGTGTTAGCTACCGTGCTGAGGACTGCGTGACACTGGGGTGCAGTGTCGATAACGGTGCCCCTCGGATACCGGGCGACCTCCGAGTGGTATTGTAGCCAAGCCCTGCGCAAGCGGCTCTGCGCAGGTGATACCGCTCTTCCGCATTACTCGTGGGAACAATATGGATACAAAACAAAAACATAATTTTCCTTTACAGGGCTCCTCGTCAGGGGGGACCAATGAACCAGGGCCACAACAGGGGTCCTGTGTAGGGGCAGGCTCCTCGAAAGAGGGGACAGCCCCAAAGCAGGGCTCCACCCAAGGACCTGGACCAGCTCCGTCCCGTAAGAAGAACAGGACGGGGGCGCAAAAGGCGTTGGCCAGGAAGCGGCGGCTCGAGGGTAAAACCCCGGGTCAGGTGCTAAAATCGAAGGTTGCGGCTGGGTCGGTGGCTCAGGAAGGCGAACCGACGTCTGGGACCAAGCGTCTCAGATCGGAGGGTAGCACTCCAGGGTCTGGCTCGGTGCAACCTCAAAAGAAGTCCAAAGGTCCTGGGGCACCCACGGGTGCACCGCGGACCTATGGGCAAGTCGCTGCGGCGGGCCTCAAGGTGGCTATCCTACCGGTGTCGTACCCGGAGGTGGACCTCACTGAGGCTCAGTCGAGGTGCATTATGGCTGCACTAAATGTGGCTGTAGACGACTTGGAGGTCGGGCCTTTTCCGAGGCTGGCCGGGTTCCGCTGGAACTCGCATGGGGTCGTTGTGGCTGAGTGCGAGGACCAGTGGACTCTGGACTGGCTGGAGAGGACCGTCTCTCTAATCAAGCCTTGGGAAGGTGCGTCTCTGAAAGTACAGAGGCACGTCCCAAAGGTGGTAAAGGTGATGGCAGTGTTGCACGGGCTCCCGGATGACACGGCCATCATTTTAAAGCGCCTCCATAGGCAAAATCCTGGGCTCAGGACGAACTTATGGAGGACGTTCTTTCGCAGGGAGGAGCCTGGTAGGGTGCTTCTCGCATTTGGTGTGGATGAGGCATCCTACAGGGCACTCCAGCGGCAGAACCTTAAGGCGCACGCGGGGGTCTCCCACGTCACTTTCGTGACGAAGGCGAGTGCTCCGGCTGCGCAAGCAAAGGGAGAGGGCTCCGCCGGAGCAGCGGGACCCAGTTCCGCTGCAATGGAGGGGGTCCAACCCTTAGGTGGAGACCTCGAGGCGTTGGAATTAGAATTGGCGCCCTCGCAGGTCGAACAAGATGTCGACGAGCTGTTGGCTCGTGTGGCGGTCCTTGGCTCCGAGATGGGGTCAGAGCCGTCGGCATCTTTAGAGGAGGGGGGAGCCTAAGTACATCGGTGATGGACAAGGTAACCTTCTTACAGAGCAATTTGCAACACAGTAAGGGGGCGACCTGCTTAATAGGCCGCCAACTTTCTGTAAGGCAGACAGGCGTTTGCCTCATACAAGAACCTTGGGTTTACAAGGGACGAGTAAGAGGCTTAAGTCAGGTTGAGGGCTCACTTTATTATAAGAGGGACAGTCAACTGAGTACCAGGACTTGCATATATGTCGACAGACGCATCGAGTCTTATTTAATGGCTGATTTCTGTTTTAGGGATCTTGTGGCTCTAAGACTTCAGCTGAAAGATGGAAAGGGACGGAGCAGGCAATTAGTAGTCTGCTCAGCGTATCTACCATATGACTCGGAAGAAGCTCCACCTCCCAGGGAGCTAGCTGAGTTGATAGAGCACTGTCGGAGTGAAAGGCTCCCTCTTGTAGTTGGCTGTGATGCAAATGCACATCACGTTGTGTGGGGCAGCACGGACACGAACTCGAGGGGCGAACACATTCTGGAGTACTTGCAGACAACTGATTTGAATGTTTTAAATCAGGGAGAAACCCCCACCTTCGTTACGTCGCGGAGGCAGGAGGTCATTGATCTAACGTTGGGCTCTTTCTCTATAGCTCACATGATCTCAAACTGGAGAGTGTCTGATGAACCGTCTCTTTCGGATCACAGGCACATTCTTTTCCAACTAAACCTGTCATTCAATGGTGGGCCCTGTAGGTTTCGGAATCCCCGAACCACCAACTGGGACTGCTATGTTGAAAAACTGACAGAACGGTTGGATAAACCACCTTTGCTCTGCCGGAAAGCAGGGCAGGTGGAAGAGGCGGCGGCAATGATAAGCGACGCTATAACGGCGTCGTTTGAAGACAGCTGCAAGCTGCGAACTGTTCGGGGAATGAAGAGAACACCTTGGTGGAACTCGGACCTTGAAAAAGTTCGTAAAGAGGTTCGAAGGCTCTTTAACAGGGCCATGCGTACTAAGTTACCTGCGGACTGGGAGGATCACAAACTCGCACAGCGCAGGTATAAAGACCACATTCGACGGTCTAAACGGGGATCGTGGAGGACTTTCTGTGGCAACATGGAAGGGCTTCCCGAAGTTCAAAAACTTCGTAAGATCCTTTTGAAAGATCCAGGGCAAAAAGTGGGGACGCTGAGGCTTCCATGCGGCAGATTTACATCTAACGCGGGTGAGGCCCTCACATGTCTCCTGGAAACACACTTTCCAGGCTCTGGAGACTATGTAACTTCGGAACCGCCAGAAGGTGCTACCCGGGTCGGTGCAAGGCCGATCGACTGGAGAGTAGCTGCCGGGGTTGTTACCGAGGGATCCTTGAGATGGGCTATCAATACGTTTAGCCCATTTAAGAGCGCAGGACCTGATGGGATATTTCCGGCTCTTTTGCAAAAGGGCCTGGAACCATTACTTCTGCACTTGTTGCACCTCTTTAGGGCCTCTGTGGCTTTGGGGTACATCCCATAAGCTGGAGAAGGGTCAGAGTTGTGTATTTACCTAAGCCGGGTCGTACTAAGTACGACACAGCAAAGGATTATAGGCCCATCAGTCTATCATCGTTTCTTTTAAAAGCGGTAGAAAAACTGGTGGATGCATACATAAGAAACGGGGCGCTGGTCCTTAGACCACTACACCCGTTTCAACACGCTTACAGAGCTGGCATGTCCACGGAGACGGCTCTTCACAGTCTCGTGTGTAGACTGGAGAGGGGAATGTCTGCTGGAGGGGTAGCTCTGGGAGCCTTTTTGGACATCGAAGGTGCGTTTAACAACACCACGTTCGATTCCATTAGTGAGGCTGCTGAAAGCTTTGGCATTGACGGGTCAATCGTAAGATGGATCCGGGCCATGCTTGGAGGCAGGGTCATCATAACCTCGATCGGAACTACGGAGATGAGCTCATCGGTCACTAGAGGATGTCCGCAGGGTGGAGTACTGTCTCCACTACTGTGGTGCCTGGTGATAGACGGGCTCCTTCGTACACTAAACGAGGATGGAGCGTATACACAGGGATACGCAGACGACCTCGCAATTGTCATTGTGGGGAAGTTTCCGAGCACCGTAAAAGAGCTCATGCAGAGGGCTCTTGGACAGGTGGATAGATGGTGCAGTAGCCACGGTCTCTCTGTCAACCCGGAAAAGACCGAAATTGTTCCATTTACGAGGAGACGGAATGTGGACCTTGACGGTCTCATCCTTCGAGGACGCCAATTGTGTCTGACCAGGTCAGTTAAATATTTGGGGGTCACTATAGACTCCCGTCTGTCCTGGAAAGGGCACATTGAGCGAATTAGCAAGAAGGCCACTGCATGTCTATGGGCATGCAGGAGAGCTTTCGGCTGCACATGGGGATTAAATCCTCGACTAGTATATTGGCTTTACACTTCGGTGATAAGGCCGATAATATTGTACGGCGCACTTGTATGGTGGCCTGCAACGCGCAGGGTAACATACAAGAAGCAGCTGAGTAAGGTACAGCGACTCGCTTGTTTGGGAATCACTGGAGCCATGAAAACCACGCCAACGTTGGCTGTGGAGGCTCTTCTGGGACTTGAACCTCTACACTTATCGGTAGAGGCCGAGGCCCGGAGGGCTTCCATAAGACTAAATGATTGGGGTGAGTGGAAGGATAGAGGCAGTCTCGGACACGGGCGGATCTGGGAGGAAACTCTTAGGTCCGACCCCTTCCTCGCAAGAAGGGACGTGATTCGAGCTACCCTACTTGAACCGAAGAGGTATAAAGTCATTCTCCCGAACAGGGAGCAGTGGCTGAACCCAGATCGTCCGTTCCTCGAACCTGAGGGGCTCGTGTGGTTTACCGATGGGTCCCTAACGGAAAAGGGAACGGGCATGGGTATACACGGTGACCGGCCGAGAGTAGGCATCAGCCTCTCCCTTGGCCAGCACAGTACTGTGTTTCAGGCAGAGGTGCTAGCCATCACGACCTGTGCGCAAGAAAACCTCCGTAGAGGTTATCGTAACCAGCATATATACATATGTAGTGATAGTCAGGCGGCGTTAAAGGCTCTGTCAGCTGACAGGGTCCGCTCGAATACGATGCTTGACTGTAGGCGAACCCTAGATAGATTAGGTGAGTCTAATAGGGTAAGCTTGATATGGGTGCCGGGGCACTCTGGAATAGGGGGCAACGAAAGGGCGGACGAGTTGGCTCGCGAAGGCAGTAGTGGGGTCCTTGTCGGGCCTGAGCCCACCCTTGGAATTGCTCCCTCAGTTGTAAGGGTCAGGATTAAGAACTGGGCGACCAGTCAATTCCAGGCTCAATGGCAACAGGCAGCTGGACTCAGACAGTCCAAGACCTTTTTAACAGGGCCTCTTGGCAAATCTGAGTCTTCTAAGCTTCTAAACCTAAACAGAAGTCAGATTAGGAAGATCGTCGGTGTCTTCACGGGACACTGGATGGTCAACTATCACCTGCACAATATTGGGCTTGTGGAAGACCCTGCGTGCAGGTTTTGTGGTGAGGTAGAGGAAACTACCGAGCATGTAGTCTGTTACTGTGACGCTCTGATCAGGGACAGACATAAACTCCTCGGTGACAGTTACTTGGAACCGAGGGAGGTGAGGAAACTAAGGCTAAATAGGGTCTTATCCTTCATTGAAGGGAAAGGGCTCTAAGCTTTGGTTGTTTAGAGAGGGGGTTAGCACAATGGGCCGTTGATGAGCCTAAGTGCTGCCTGTAAAGGCTCCCCTGATAGAATAGAATAGATATAAGATAAAATATTAAAATTTGTATAGGCACACTTACAATCAGAACTCGGGGTTTTAGGAATCTGTTTCTCAAACATTTAACCAAATGCGGTACATCAGAAAAGAAATGCAAATGTCGAGATTCGTCAACAGGATGAATGATTTTGTTCACTGTGTAATTCATTTTGCCATTAACACCAAATTCAGTCCACATTTTCCTGTTCGTTGTGGCTCCGTCGCAAACAAGACCATGCACTCTGACATTTACGGCTTCGATTCTCTTAATTATTTCTAATATTAATTTAATTAAACAGAGACCATTTGTAGGCCCTTTGGCAGCATAGACTGCGACAGGTTGGTCAAATTTATCCGCCAAAGATGACCACATAAATATAAGAGCATGATCTGCTTGTTTGTCAGACGTTTTAACGGTTTTCTTCACCAAAATCTTGGATCCCGATCAATTTCATGTTTGTAACATTCAATTTTATGGATTGCCGAACTGCCATCTCGTCAAAAATCAAAATCCCGTGCCTTTGAAAATCATTTTTCTCGCTCATTTTTGCTTTGAAAGCATTAAAAAATTCATCATCTATACCGCATTTTATTTTTACCCTTGAAAGATATTTTCTGATGGTCGAGACAGCAGGCAAGGGCAAAATATCATTAGTTCTAAGAAATTTGTACGAGGCAGAATTTTTTATGTGCAAAAGTAAACATAGCAGTAACCAATCGGACATGTAACGTCTAGAAGTTTTTCTATTATATTTACACGTTTGAATACATGCTTTTATTAATAATTTTTGAGAAGAAGGCATGTTCGGAAGATGCGATATTTTTTCTAACATATCAGCTTCCTGAATTGTCTCAAGTTTCTGCTTTGTTTCTTGTAATTCTTTTGCGATCTTTCGATGTCTCATCCTCGCCCTTCTAAGGCATTGCTTCACATTTTTGAGTAATTTATATTTTGAGCAAATTTTTGTCTTCTTCATTCTACGTTTGTAAGCTCGGATTGCCTGACTTGAGTTTTTACAATAATTATATCTACTAATATCGTCAGGAACAACCCAGCAACACTTATAGTAGTGTAGCTGGGTACGTACGGGCTCAGGAAGTGACGTCAGACTAATCAGGAGCTAGTATTTGGGTCCCGTGACTGTAGACGTCCAATGAGAGACGAGTAATGGCTGCCGTCGGCCATTTTGTGGTTTACTGGTTGCCGTCGGCCATTTTGTGGTTTACGAGTAGATAAATTAATGAGGTGACCTCTTTGGTGGTATGCAATATTTGCAATATATCATAAGCGGGCTTTAGTCTTTTGCGGTTGAAGTTATTTTTAAATGTTAAAGATTACGGTGTTTGCCTTTGCACTTTTTTCGCATTCTTGCTAAATTGCAATTATTTATTTTAGCGTTTTTGCAAACTTTATCGCATTTTGCGAAAAAAGCGAGCGTAGCTTAAACGCTGATTACCACAGACGATGCTGATAAAGTTATTTTTCAGGAGAAAATTGTAGTATAAATAACCAGCAATCTTCATCTTTAGAGGTAGTTAATATCTAAACAACAAATTGGTAAGTAATTCTTATATAAGTAATGTTACTAAATTAATTTGCGAAATCTTATTAGGCAAAAGCAATACTTTATAACAAAATCAAATAACATGGATCAGCTCTTAAAGGAATTAACTTCATTGGGAAAATGTGAATTTAAACCAATTTTAAAAATTAAGGATATGATAATTGGTAAAAAATACAAGCTATATAGTATTAAATCAGTCCAAACTAGTAAATTTGGTAGAAAAATTGTAGTTGAAACAGAAGATAACAGTATTTTTCTACCCGAGCGTTATTCAAGATCGTTGTCAGACGAAAAAATCACGGAATTTGCAGCATCTATTTGGAAATTCGCTTTAGTTTTTGAAGGTGAAGTCGATGTGGGGAAACCGAATAAGTTGTTGAAAATATCTTTTACTGACGCATAGCAACAATAGGTATGTATGCTTCTTATTATGTTATTAAATAATAAATATTTTAAATTTTAGCAATATGCATCCACATCCAAATTTTGAATGGGTCGATAACATGAATCACGATTTTGAAATAATGGTTGCTTCAGTTACTTTTAGTTCGGGACGCTATTTAGTTTCTATTAATAATATACTTAGTGACTTATGTTATAAGCGAAAGGAGATCAAAGTGCCTTCTCTTTACAATTTAACACAAAAAGCAATAATAAATAATAATTTACCATGTAAGTCTTTACCAGATATTTTACTAAATCACATAGAGATACTTAAATGCAAGCATAAAGCACTTAAAACCAAAACTGATATCTTTAAAGAGAAGGTTCTTAGTCTTCATAAAAGTTATTTTTTATTTAGAAGAAAATGTAGTGAATTTAATAACATATATTGCTATATTCAAGATATGTATGCAGATTTTGAGGTCGAAGATGAAAGATTACTTTTGTCAAAAGCACATGAAGCAAGTTGTACGTATAACAATATATTTGTTTTAGCTGAGGAGCTTAAATATTTCGATGTAAGGTGTGAAATAGAATTACAGGAAATTATACAGGAATGTTCCATATTGATTGATTAACTGTTATGATAAACATTGTAAAATTACATTCGTAATAAAACTTAGTTGTTATTCACGTACTTTTGTAACATACGCCACGTGCGCGCGTGACGTAGTGATGAAGGCAGCACGATCTGTATTTAAGTAGCGCCTCGATCATTGCCGTATTTCTATTTGATTGTGCATTCCACCGATTACCAGGTACTCCTTTGAAAATTCTTCTCTTCAGTTAGTTTACAATCTTGTTTTTAGTGAAAATGTCTTTGGTAAAGAATATCGAGTTGACCGTTAAAATGGTTGAAAATTTTCATAAAAATTACACATCTTCTGATGACTCTAAAGTGGGAAAATTCATTGATATAATCGATTTAAACAACAAACAAATAAAATCCATGTTAGGAAGTAGCGGCCCAGCAGTTCTATCCGTCGGTGAGAAAAGACATCTTGCTACGCTTGCGGGGAAGTTGGAGCGCTATAGGAGCCTCTTACAGCACCAAGAAATAGAAGCACCGGTCGGTTCATCGCTCAACCTTCAGCAAGGAAAAGTCGAGTGGAGGGATTTGGCTACGGCCTTTAACTCTAGGGTGAGTTCGGCGATTATTGTTAATTTAGGGCACAAAACATTAGGAGCATTTTATAACGATAGTTTTAAGATATTTGCGAGTAAGATTAGAAGTATTTTTAGTAGATATAATCAGCCATTAAAAGTAAATTTTGAATTTTGCGCGGAATTCGTGAAGCCATCTTTAACTAGCGACAATAATAATCATTTACCAACTAAAGAATTTAGCTTTATAACGAAAAATTTTAAGATTTTAAGTTGTAATTTAGAACAAGCAAATTTAAAACAATTATTCAATACTAATGTGACGGATTATCTAATGGAACGTTTGCTTAAATTCGAGGAGCAGGAAAGTGGTTGGGCACTATCAAAAATTATCTCGTTAGCTGTGAACATTAGTATCGCAACTTTATTACACGCTTCATCCTATATTGATTTGCCTATTGAAATTAAATCGAAACTAGCGGTCATCAATGTTAAAAATAACGATGAGGCATGTTTCGGATGGGCGCTATCCTCCGCTCTTTACCCCGTTACCCGAAATTCCGATCGCGTTTCATCCTATGCTTATTACGCACAAATATTAAATTTTCAAGATATTAATTTTCCAATGTCTCTAGACCAACTACCTAAATTTGAGAATCAAAATCCAAATTTATCCGTTAATATATATGGGCTTATTCGAAAATCGGTGTACAATTACGTCACCGTTCCATTATATTTATCTGACAGTAAAAAAGATCAACATGTAAATTTATTAATGATTCAGAATGATTACGAAATTGAAAATAATGATCATGAGAGTGTTAACGTTGATGACCGTGCAGATGAAGCAGTCAAATTCCATTTTTGTTGGATCAAAAATTTATCCAGATTGGTGCATTCACAGTTAACGAGGAAAAACAATAAACTGCATATTTGTGATAGATGTCTCCACTACTTTAATTCTACTGCAAAACTGAACAATCATACGTTAGTTTGTAGGGAACTGAATTATTGTAAATTAAATACGCCGAAACCAGGCACTACGGTTCATTTCAAAAATTATGAATTCAAACAAACCGCCCCTTTCATCATGTATTGCGACTTGGAGTGTATGGTACGCGATTTTCAAGATGACGAAACGCGTATAACGTTTAAATATAAAAAACATGACGTGTGTAGCATCGCATATTATCTTCATTGTACCTTTGACAACTCTTTGTCGAGATTTCGCTTGAAGAGGGGAGAGGAATGTATTAATTGGTTCACCCGTGAACTAACGGAAATTGCGAATAATTTGCAACGATATTTCGATACGCCCATGCCAATGGAACCGCTGAGTGATACGCAAATGCTCGCGTATAATGCAAGCACTCATTGTCACATTTGCGAAGGACCGATACTGGAGGGGGAGGTCAAAGTTCGCGATCATTGTCACTTTACAGGTCGATTTCGATCTAGTGCCCATCAGGCTTGCAATCTTCGTTATAAGGCCCCTCACATGATTCCAATATTCTTCCACAATTTCAGCGGTTACGATAGTCATTTTATTATTAAAAACATTGCACAAGCTATTCCCGGTAAAGTTACACTTTTGCCCAAAAACAAAGAGCGCTACATCTCATTCACTAAGCACATGAAGGACACTACAGTGCAATTCAGATTTGTAGATTCGTTTCGCTTTATGGATTCGTCATTAGACAAATTGGCATCATATTTAAAATTTGACGATTTTAAAATTTTACGCTCTACGTTAAGCCATTTAAACGATAAGCAGTTAAAGTTATTAACTAAAAAAGGTGTGTTTCCGTACGAATACATGGATGATTGGGCGAAATTCGAGGAATCATCGCTTCCCGAAAAAAGCAAATTTTATAGCAGATTAACGCAATTTGACATTTCGGATCAGCAATATTCCCATGCTAGAAACGTTTGGCGTGAATTTAACATTCAAAATTTGGGTCAATATAGCGACCTTTATCTAACGAGCGATGTACTTCTGCTCGCCGACGTCTTCACCAATTTTAGAGAGAAATGCATAACAACGCATAAACTAGAACCCGCGTTTTTCTTTACCGCACCAGGTTACACGTGGCAATGCATGCTCAACTATACAAAGGTAAAACTAGATCTCTTATCTGATATCGATATGGTATTGTTCGTAGAAAAGGGAATAAGAGGCGGAATAACTCAGTGCTGCACGAAATATAGTAAAGCAAACAACAAGTATATGAAAAACTATGATCCTAACAAGCCGTCCTCTCATATTCTATACACGGATATGGTTAATTTATATGGTTGGGCGCAAAGTCAGTGTTTACCTCAGAATAACTTTCAATGGCTTACCGAAGAGAAAATAAGGTCTTTAACTCCAGAACTGATAACAAATCTCTGTGACGATGCGAATGAAGGTTTAATATTAGAGGTGGATCTAGCGTATCCGCAGTATTTGCATGATCGTCATAAGCATATTCCATTTTGCGTTGAACACGGTAAGCCTCCTGGCGGTAAACACAAGAAGTTGCTCGCAACCCTGACATCTAAGTTTAAATACGTTATTCATTACCGTAATTTAAAACAATGTCTTCAGGCAGGACTTACGCTTGAAAAAGTTCATCGAGCGATACGCTTCAACCAATCTCGTTGGCTTAAGCCGTATATAGATTTAAATGCAAGGTTGCGTGCGCAAGCCACTAATCCGTTCGAGAAAAATTTGTACAAGTTGCTAAATAACGCAAATTTTGGAAAAACCATGGAGAATGTGAGAAACCATCGGGCAATAAAACTCGTTACTCGATGGAGCGGTAGGTACGGAGCCAATTTTTATATTTCACAACCCAATTTCCATAGTAGGGAGATTTTTGACGAAGAGTTGATGGCTATAGAGTTGCGCAAAACTGAAATTATGATGAATAAACCAATGTATGTGGGGATGGCCATTCTCGATATTTCTAAGACTCAAATGTACGACTTTCATTATAATTTCATGCAACATCAGTTTAGCGATGAACACATGAAAGTCTTGTACATGGATACCGATAGTCTGGTGTATGAGTTAATATGCGATAACGTTTACGATCTAATCCGAAATAATATCGATCGATTTGACACTTCCTCTTTCCCCGTAAACAACGAATATAACATTCCGATTCGCAATGCCATGGTGCTTGGTTTAATGAAGGATGAAATGGGCGGTCAAATTGTAACCGAGTGGGTGGCTTTGGCATCGAAAATGTATAGTTTTAAGGTTTGGAATAAAGATGGCGTTAACGATTATCATAAGAATAAAGTAATTAAGAAATTAAAAGGAGTTAAAAGTAGTGTTGTAAATAATAGGATAACTTTCGATGATTATTTAAAATGTCTAAAGAGCAGGGATACTACTAAGGAGATAGCCCAAAGCAGCATATTATCAAGAAATCATCAGGTGTACAGTGTGCAACAAACTAAAAGAGCACTGTACAACCATGATGACAAAAGGTACGAGTTATCAAACGCAATTGATACGCTACCTTGGGGTCATTGTAATATCCCTGCTAATATGGAGTTAGGATAGATATTTATATTTAATTAGAATTGTAATTAACTTAATTATATGTCAATTAAATATTTTGCATTTATTAGATTAATATTAGTAAAGAATAAAATTACAAGTTATACAAAATCTGATTTATTGATCCAAGAGTCATGTGCTTTATCCATGCCAAGCCATCGAACGTAGAGTTTGTTTGCTTTACGTCGCAAAATTTTTTCCACTAGAAAAACATCCTGATGAGCTGTTTTCTGCAATTCTTCCGCGTAGAATTGACCCATGATTTGTTTACCCAGCAAATCTTCTAATAGGTATGTAACAGGGTTCCCAACCTTTATTTTAACAATTTTAAATAATTCCGGCGAATAGTTTGGAGTATAGCCTTTTGCAAAAACAGATTTGTACTTGGAGATCCTCACAATGTCACCAACTTTGAATTTAACTGATCCCATTAACTTTAGATTGTGAAACATCGGTAGATATGTTTTAGCCGTTACATCTTTTGGTTTCATTTTAATTGTTGAATGTTTGGTGTTGTTGTAATTGGAGGTCACTTCCGGTAACACATCTATCCACTTGTATTTACCTCTAAGACTAAATATTTTATAAAGTGCATTTTTTATTGTTCTTATCACTCTTTCGGCAATAGCTGCTTTTTTCACACTGTAAGTAGAGTAATGATTTATCAAATGTTTCTTCATTAATTTTTCGAAATCCTTATTATAAAATTCCTTTCCTTGATCGGTTTGCAGATTGACAGGAACTCTTCCCTCGTTCAAGATGGCTGCCATGCCTTTACACACCTCGCCAGCATTTTTTGATTTTAAAGAATACGTCCATAGATATTTTGAATAACAGTCTATTACAACTAGCACATATTTATAGCCTTGATTCTTTTTAGAATATTGCTTAAATTCAGCCAAGTCCGATTGCCACAAATCATCAAAATGTTTGATGATGGTTCGTTTTCGAAGAAAATTTTTACGAGCCGGTTTATGTAGTTCTTCGACAACCTCAAGCTTTGACATCTTACAATAAACTCACAAACTAATCGGAAACTGGTAGGTACGGTTCAACGACAGTTTTCATTTGGATATCATAAAGGCGTTTTTTCTCCAAATATTCTGCTCTCTCACCGGAGTCCATTTGCCTTTCGTCAAATTGAAGATTTTTTGCCTATTTCCTTTTCGAGCGCCTCCAGATAGTTCTTATGTCCATTCAAAATTTTCATCATCTTCCACCGGATCGGCAACCTGTCTTAAACGATTACCTTCCATATTATATCGATTCATTATGTGCTTAGCACTCAGTTCACTAATGCACCTATCCACATATTGCTTGGTTGCGACATCATCATCTCGATGTGGATCGATAACGTTACAAATTCTTTTGTTTTGCATATTATAATCACCGTCTGCGGTTAGACTCAATTTCGGAGCGCTATCGCCCTCATCGAAGGTTTTATTTCTCGAAGTCGAGTGACGTCCAAACTTGTCAACACTCATTTTCAGACTAAGCTATTATACCTTCTTCGCGAAGTTCCTCCTCAATATTTAAAATTTCATTGTTGTGACCAGTGTGACCCGCTGATTGGGATGCATGTAGTAATCTAAGCCGTTCAACTAGTTCATGAGGAGTGTTCCAGTATACGTATTCCTTAGCCTTATCGTTTACCTCTTTCATGCCGGTTCCGAAATGTTCCATAAGCAATGGTTTAATAATGCGACGATATTTGTGTGACTTAGTACCCATAATTTGATGACCGGGAACATAGTTTTTTCTATATGCATTAGTATCGAGTAAAATATCTTTATACACCTGTCCCTCTCTAAAGGAATAATTGTCAGGTTTTTTTAACACAAGCAATTCGTATAACCCTGGAGTACCAGTATATTTTTTACCATTAATTGCTAAATCTGGCCCATCAAAATCTACTTTAGAGTTGCCAATAGCCCACTGATTGTACGTGGCATCGTATCGAAGACCATATGTGTTATCAATGTCACCCTTTACATCCTTAATCATCCGTTCAATATATTGACGTGGCAAACGGTTGTATTGCATCAAAAATTCTTGAGCTTCGTTCTGAGTATCTTGCAGATGCGATAAGTTATTCATCGATTTAGTAGTATCGTCCGTTTCATCGTCATTGTTATCATGATGATCATCATCATCATTATCATCATCATTGACACCTATTTCACTAATATCTCCAGTTTTAATGAACCGGTGTCGTTTACGAATCGTTGTTGGAGTATTTTCAATGCGTTTTACTTCATGCTTTGGTGTTGATTCATATTTAATTTCATTTTCAGCCTTTGTCAACATTTCATACTTGTGCGGTTCACGTTTAGCTATTGCCTTCAATGGCTCTACTATAGGTTTATAAGTTTCTTGCACCAGTCTAAGAGTCTCCATTTCGCCTCTTTTTAGCGCTGCAAGCTTGCGTGTTATATCATTTCGTGTTTTAGTTAATTTTCGTTTAATAGACTGCTCTTTTACGTTCATCTTTGCCGACTTCACGTAATAAACTAAGCAATTATTGTTAAAAGTCACTTATAGTACCTCTTGGGCTTGTTCGCATAGCGGTTGGATCGGTTCAAATAGCGGTTGGATCGGTTCAAATAGCGGTTCGAATAGCGGTTGGAGCGGTTATAATGTAATGTAACAATCGAATCCTCTCCGATATCTTCCATAATCAAAGTCTTTTACGATGCACACAAAATTGTATGTATGCTGCCAACACGTTGAACACATTAACTTAAATTGATCGAATGACATGTCGGTGCCTACATGCTCATCGTACACATGTTTTAAGTTTATGCAATCTTGTTTAAATAGAACAATAACGTTAACATTATCCCTAATTAACTGTTTTGGGATCTTTGAATAAGTTTGACAAAGATAAAATGAGTCCGCTCCAGAATGACGCCCTCTGCTGAAATAATCTCGAATTATATCTTGATTGAAACATGCCACGTCATCAAAGATCATTATTGAATTTTTAGGTATCTCTTCGGGAGCTATTACATCAGATTTATCACTAAATGCATTGTACCTAATACCTCTTATAGGTTCAAGTACTTGCTCCAAATATTTATATTTTGATTGTTCCAACGACTTTGAATATACATAAACGTTTTCAAACTTTAATCCATGCGGCTCTTCTAATAAACTTATCATAAGGTTTGTTTTGCCGCATGCTGATGGACCGCAAATTACAGCTCTAATTGATGCCGGAAGTAGAGGTCCATGTTTTCCCATCACTTTAGATTCCAAAATATCATGATTGTCAACACTAAACTGCTGAGGTTGTATAGTAAACTTCATTATTATTTGGTGTCTTGAATGATACTGATCAGTAGATGGCTGACCGTCGTTTAGGAAGGGGATTTGTAAACAGTTTGATAAATAAATTGCCAGTAGAACTTCATATTCCCGGATATCAGTATTGTGGACCCGGAACCAAATTACAGCAACGCTTGACTCGTGGTGATCCCGGAATAAATCCGTTGGATGCTGCATGCAAACAACACGACATTTCGTACGGTAAATTCAAAGACGTTGAGAACCGCCATCGAGCCGATAAAGAACTTCAAACGCAAGCTTGGAATCGCGTAAAAGCAAGCGACTCAAGTTTCGGAGAGAAAGCTGCTGCGTTAGCCGTTGCGGGCGCTATGAAGGCCAAACGGAAGTTGGGAATGGGAACAAAATTCAAGATGAACGTCAAGAGGAAGATCAAAAAGAAAACTTGCTCGTTTAGAGGAGGAGTTTTATCGGTAGCTCGAAATGCGATAAACGATATTAAGGATACGAATATTAAGAAACTGATAAACATAAGTTTGGCGGCAGCTAAAAAAGCGGTTAAAGTTGTGGGTGGTAAGAAAAAAGTGCGGGTGCCTCGAGTTATACCGATACCCAAAGTTGGCGGATTCCTTCCCTTCTTGATACCGCTATTCGCAGGTCTATCGGCAGCAGGCGCATTAGCTGGTGGGGTTAGCGGTATAGCTAAAGCCGTAAACGATGCATCGGCGGCTAAAAAGCAGTTGGAGGAAAATCAACGTCATAATGCCTCAATGGAGGCTGTAGCGTTGGGTAAAAAAGGAAGCTCGCTATACCTTAAACCTCGAAAAAAAGGTTTTGCATTGTATTTGAAGCCGTATCCGTCAAAAAACTTATAGACTTGCCTCGGAAAGCGTTATCAGACTTAGATCTACTAAGGTATGCTAAAGATGTGCCCTTCTTTCGAGGAGTTTTTATGCGCAATACATTACCAAACAATCCTCATGTAAACGAATGTGCTATCGTAAACCTCGATGACAATAAAGGAAAAGGAACTCATTGGGTTGCTTACAAGAAACGAGGTAATAAGGTAGTGTACTACGACAGCTTCGGAAACTTGTCGCCTCCACTCGAAGTAGTTAGATACTTAAGAGGATGCGCAATTACTTATAATTATGATAGAGAACAAGCATACAATACATTAATATGTGGTCATTTATGTTTAAACTTTCTATATAATAAATAATTTCATAAAACGTTCTTTTGTTTCACTTCCCTTGTAGTCATGTCGCAGACGTTCACCTTGACAGGTGTGGGCAACGTTCTCACCAGCACCTACTTTCCTCCGATCGAACTAGATCGTAATTATCAATACGGATTGGGATTAGTTGGTTTCTACGGATGTAATTCAATTCAAAATATATTTGAAGGTAACAACAAGTTTTACTATGGGGGAATCAATGACGGCATCCACAAAGAGATCACCATTCCAAGCGGCGCGTACGAAATTGAAGAGATTAACAGAATTTTACAGAAACACATCAACGAACCTAACAATTCGTTGGACTTTATACTAAGGCCCAATAATAATACGTTAAAGTGTGAAATGAAGACCATTTACAACGTGGACTTTTCTCGGCCTGATTCTATTGGGCGCATGCTCGGATTTTCTCCTAAATTATATAAAGGGGGCGGTAAAATTCACGAATCCGATCTAGATGTTCAAATCGTCAACGCCACCAATATACATGTGGAGTGTAATGTAACCGGTGGAGCATACAGAAACAACGCGCTATCTCATACCATTTTTGAATTTGATGTCCACGTTGAGCCTGGATATAAGTTGGTGAAAGAGCCTGCCACCATAATCTATTTACCTGTGCTCGTGCATCAGATAGATAACATAACCTTGCGGTTGGTCGATCAAGACGGACAACTAGTAAATTTTGGTGAGGAGAGAGTAACTATTCGATTGGAACTAAAAAAGTATGGGTCTTCAAATTTTTTGTAAGAAGGGTTCTTCGCTCAGTCATATTTCGTCCGCTAACAAGGACACTAGCGATTACGGCTACTTAACAGAAAGCGATATACAGTTTTTACAACAACTCGGTTATAAAGTGCTCCGTAGACATGGAAGAAGCTTTAAAAAACCTCTTCACCGGCGTAAAGTATGAAGATATGATTATTGAATGTGATCGACGTACTTACCACCCCTACACGACCAATGCATATGGTAACTCTGACGAAATTAGTCTTGTAATACAGAAGGCAGATCTCATTACCGCCACCTATGATAGCGTTATATACTTGGAAGGAACGCTTACTCCAACGACGCCAAATAAAAATTACGATTTTACTAACAACGCACCGCTTTTCCTCTTTGAAGAAATCCGATTTATACTAGGTGATCAGGTGATAGAAATTGTTCGATTACCAGGGATAAACAGTACGATTAAGGGGTTTTGCTCTTATACAACGGATCAGAGTAGATGCTTATCGCATGCAGGATGGAGTGCCGAAAATTCTCCGCAGATACTAAACACCACAAAGACAGCTTTCTGTGCTTCCATACCGCTTAAGCATGTGCTAGGATTTGCTGAAGGATATAAGAAACCGTTGGTTAACATACGACAAGAGCTCGTTTTAATTCGTTCCAAGACCGATACAGATTGCTATAAAGGTGAAACTGAAGTTAAGATTAATCTTACGAAGGTAACATGGAAAGTTCCGTACGTTATTCCAAACGATGCTATGAAACTGGCCATCTATTCGAAGATTAACAAGAATTCTCCAATACAGGTGGCGTTTCATGCGCGCGACTTATACATATACCCCACTTTACCCACCACAAGGTCGTTAGTTTGGTCGGTAAAAAGCAGTACCGGTTTCCAGCGCCCCCAATGGCTACTAATCGCATTCCAAACAAAGAAACGAAACCGGAAAGAAGAGAATGCATCGAAATTTAATCACTTGAGTATTTCAAGTATAAAGGCGAACATTAACAATCGAAGATATCCGTATGAGCAACAAAATCTAGCATTCACCGATAACAAATATGTGGATGCCTATGAAGAGTATTTAAACTTTCGATCTCAATACTACGGTTCGGAGCACGAGGGCTCTCTTCTAAGTTATAAAGAATTTGAAAACCAAACGATCTTCATTATAAATTGTACGAGACAAAACGAAAGCGTTCACAATGTGGTGGTTGATTTAAAGGTGGAAGTTGAGGCATCGTCGGCATTTCCGGATGAAACTATCGCTTATTGCGTAATTTTGCATGATGTGTTAATTGAATATGAACCCTTCACTAGTATTGTACGCAAGATTTAATGTACTTTATGTATTTCTTAAATAAAGATTATATTTGGAAATCAAGGCGCTATATTAATTTTATTGCATCGTGCATTTCACATCAGTATGCGTTTTACAGTCATGAAGGCTGTTAGCATAGTTTTTGCAGCAGCAATCTGCATCTTTAGTGTGAGTTTGAATAATAGTGATGATAATGACGGTGATGAAGAAAATATTAATTTAAGTATTGCGAATAATTTCCTATCCAAATACGGATACATGTCAAAAGTTTCGGAAGGTGCATCACATGCAGAGTTTAAACCTTCTGTCAAGAAAGCCTTAAAAGAATTTCAAGAATATTACAAGCTACCTACGGATGAAGAATTCTATGATGACACTTTTGCGTTTATAATGAGACCTAGATGCGGAAACGAAGATATTTTGAGCTCCTATTCGGTAGCACCCTATAAATGGGAAAAGAAAACAATATATTATTATCTTGCATATAGTGATTATCGCGCGCTAGCCCGCACTAAAGAAGCTTTCCAAACTTGGGGAAGATATGCAAATTTAAAATTTGCGTATAAAACTTCTGGATATGATATATTAATAACATTTCAAAACCTCAATCATTCGATGTATTTAAATCCCCATTCCACATGTCAACGGACCTTAGACGGTCGAGGTGGCGAACTAGCACATGCCAACTTTCCAACACGCAGTCAGACTCCGATAGAAATACATATGGATTGGGGTGAGGCATGGTACTTTGAGGATTCAAATATACCGCCTGCAGATTCAACTAGCTACTATGCGGTTTTAGTTCATGAAATAGGTCATGCACTGGGATTAGAACATTCGAAGGATGAAGATGCAATTATGTTTCCCTATATAACTCGCGGTAAACATGATTTGAGCGCTGATGATATCGTAGGTATACGGAAGCTATATCCCAATGAAGAAGGCACAACTACTTCTACTACTACTACTACTACGAAAACTACAAGTACCACTGCTGATACTACTCCGAAGAAAAAACAAGTGTCATCTAGTGAACCACCCGATTTGTGCGCAATTCAAGTGGAACACTTTTTAATTTTAAACAAACGAATTTATATGTTTTACAAACATTGGGTGTGGATATCAGCTTTAGGTAGTAATTACATTGAGACCGCGAAGAATTTATTCGAATGGCTGCCGTTCCTTCCGAAATCTTTCGAACGTTTCGACGCGATATATCAGAAACCTAATAGTGACATTATATTCTTTAGCGGAGGTAAAATTTACATAGTGCAGTTCCCTAGTTTACAATTGCTAGCTGGATGGCCTCAGCCATATCATCGATTTGGGATCCCAGGTGCAGTGAACGCTGCATTTAACACTTATTCTGGACGCGCACTTATTTACCATGGCTCGAATGAAGTGATCGAGTTTGATGATTGCAATAATAAACCGAAGAATCGATTGATATACAGTCAAACATTTCCTTACATCCCCAACAAATTGACATCCGTGTTTAAATATATTGATGGTTATCTCTACTTTATTGATAACAACAATAAATTTTATAAATATAGTGAATTTTCGGAGCAGGTGACTCAAACAGGAATCCTGGATTTATCTTTATTCAAGATTCATTGCGCTAATAAGGGGCTACTAGAACAGCTTTATGATGTATTATCTAATCTCATTAAATTTGATAAGCATGTTAAACCTTATTTACAACCTAGACGTAATTAACATAACTTGTAACGTACGTGTATTAGAAAATAAAAGAATGATTTTACTTATGAAGGTGTTTTATTAATAACATAGGTACAGCTTTTTAGTTAAATCTTCTTAGCTTATCTCTAACATCCTTAACAAACGTTTCAGGGTAAATATTTACAATTTCTAACAAAAACGTAAAATCAGTTGTCCATTGCCTGCATTCAACAATCGATTTTAATAATTTGAGGTTTTGACAGAAAAATTTCCCTCTTGACAAAATGCTTTCGTCATCTGTTTTAGCTTCCCTATGAAGTGTTTCTTCTACCGCACATATGAAGTTGTAATACGTCCAGTACATGGAATGATCATTAAAGTTGTCTAATTTTTGGTTCACAGCAGTTACGGCAGCAAAAAGGAGGGTGATCGCTTTTTTGGTTAACAAAACACTATTATGCACATTACTTATTCTAATGCACTTTTCATCTGGTGTAAAATTAACTGCCTCGATTGTTATGCCACAGCTAATGAACGTTTCCTGATTCTGCTGATGATGTTCCAGACCATTTAACATGAGCCGAATTATATGCTCTGTTTTCATATTTGAAATATCCTGCCACTCTTCTACGTTGAATTTCAAACAACTATCTTGATTACAAAATATTTGCACGGATGGCGTAAAATCCTTCAATGAAATACCCACTTCTAGTCTAATCACTCCATCGAGAATTAAAGACCATGTTGATATTAAAGCCGAATCTGTGACTATCTTTTCTGCCAAATTATCAATCCAACTAAAATTTGCGCTTTCCTCACTCCATAGCTCTTTGAGGACAGCAGGTTCAAATTGTTTTTGTTGATCGCTCATGATGTAGGTAGCACGATTCGATGTACTGCTGTACCAATGATTAGTATCGACTCTTTTATACTGATTATAAGACATGCGCGTTATACGCACCTATATACGCAGCCTTATTTATGTTTTTCGTGTGTATGCGACTTTACTCCTGATAAATAACTTTATCAGCATCGTCTGTGGTAATCAGCGTTTAAGCTACGCTCGCTTTTTTCGCAAAATGCGATAAAGTTTGCAAAAATGCTAAAATAAATAATTGCAATTTAGCAAGAATGCGAAAAAAGTGCAACGGCAAACACCGTAATCTTTAACATTTAAAAATAACTTCAACCGCAAAAGACTAAAGCGGATACTGATTACAATTCATTTACATGCAACTGTGCGCGGTGATTGAGTGGCGAGTTTACATTTTTACATCGATATGGTAATTATAGAATTTTCTAGATTAAAATGAATCAAATACTTGAAAGTATACAACAATTCGAAGCGAAAAAAGAAAAGAACTTTAATGAAACGAGGAATGCATTACTGCAACTAAACGTTAACGAACTAATGCAGATATGGACCAAGATACCCATTATATATCAAAATGATAGCGAAATATGTAATCGAATTCGCTGTACTAAACACTGGAATCAACCGTGGCAACGTATCCATATTGATGGACCAGCTCCGCTTATAATGCAAATATTGCATTCAAGGTGAATTAACGAACTATTTGCTACCTTTTTTTTAATCTTCCTCAAAGTAAGCGCAGTTGGTCTAGTAGAAAATAAATAAACAAACTCTTTGTTACCGTTTTTTATTCTTCCTCAAAGTAAGCGCTAGTTGGTCTAGTGGTTAACTACTAGACCAACTAGCGTTTTAAGCTCCGTTCAAATCCTGATCTGTACCGCTAGACGGCCAGTTACAGGTACCTTTTTTTTCTCTTCCCCTCCTACCCTTCGCCATCTAGTGCTACCACACCCTCACAAGCAAAGGCTCCATCTCAAGATCCCATTAAGAAATGTTGCCCATAAAACCACTGCAATACAACTCGATCATTCCAACATACCACCAAAGAGGTCACCTCATTAATTTATCTACTCGTAAACCACAAAATGGCCGACGGCAACCAGTAAACCACAAAATGGCCGACGGCAGCCATTACTCGTCTCTCATTGGACGTCTACAGTCACGGGACCCAAATACTAGCTCCTGATTAGTCTGACGTCACTTCCTGAGCCCGTACGTACCCAGCTACACTACTACTTATAATGTCGCCATGTTTCATTAAAAATGTCCTTAACGTAACATCGGTTTATAAAGTTTGGAAATTGAAGAATGCTAGCACCTCCAGGACAAATTATCATTGACGCGAATTTATTCAAACAATCTTGGAATTCGCTTATGCATGTAGGAGTTTTCTCAAATACACTCGTATCTACTGAATGGTCATAAATGTAACAATAGATTCCTTTTTCGAAAATAATAATTTTTTTCTTCATAACTAGGTACATTACAATCCAAAACTTTTAATTCAAATATCGCAATAGCGTCTTGTGCCTCAGTTATATGCAGTTTCCACGAAGCTGAAGGAAGCGAAATTTAATTAATATTACGTCATAGTTGATTAAATAAATTGTCATCTGAAGCCGATGCAATTGAAGCTAAAATTTAAAAAAAACGTGTAGGTGGATGCGTTTGAATTTTTGGGACATATACTTACAGTTAAGATTACAATGTGATAATAAATCCCTGTTTTCATTAAGGTGACTTTCATTTGGTTTCTGTCGTTTTTTAGGAAGGATCTCATGTTTTTCTATTATTCTACGTTTGTGCGGAATTTTAGAAAGGTATTTAGGGCAATTAGGGAATAAACAAGGAACTGCTCCTTCCGCCAGTTTTGGTTTCTCTAGTTTAATCTGCGTGTTCATTAATAGATTAAAGCGATTTAAGTAGCATTATACACAAACATACCGTATAAACTTCATTCTTTAGTTCACGAATGATATCTGTTTGCGGAAAATGTTTTTCACATACATAATCATTAGTAGTCAATCCCGATCTTCCCTTTGAATTTTTGTACTCCACTGTAATAGTCGATCTTTTGTGATTTTAAACAACGAAACCTTTATTGTTTATTTGATGCGTAACCACTACTTTGGCACGCAACATGATCTACCCATGTTGTACTTTTATTATAATGGTCTACTTTTATTATATTTGCAACGTATAAAATCAAGATCAACACAAAAGTGTTATACCGCGATCTTTACGCGCCAAACTACCTAGACTAGACCCTTTGCCGCTATCTCACTCTAACGTCCAGGATACGTGCCGTGCTTCAGTAAAGTCGCCGTTCTATGCAGGCTGTCGGACCACCTCTCTTATTATTCACCGTGGTCGTAGCAAATGGCTAGACTTATACCTTATGCGTAATGGAACAGGGGCGAATAAAACAATAGAAAAACTACGTCAAAAAGTTTTACCTACTTTGGTATCCCAGAAGAAATGGTATCCGATAACGGTCCTCCTTTCTTTGGAACTGAGTACCAACAATTTTGCAAGTCAAATGGAATTAAATGTATATTCTCACCACCATTACAGCCATGCTCTAATGGAATGGCTGAAAAGCAAGTACAATCCATAAAGAAGTGCCTACTGAAAGAAGTACATGAAATGGAAGTGAAGAATACTCATAAGAGTATACAACTGTTGATAGATAATTTTCTATTAAAACCTCGTACAACGTACCCAACAGCGTCACTGGTGTTAGTCCCGCATCCATGATGTTAAAACAGAATCCGAGAACTAGAATGACTATGTTGAAAATGAAACCTATAGAGGAAAAAAAAAACGAAATATGATCAAGTAAAGGAAAACGAAGATAAGAGTAGAGGTAAAATGAGAGTCTTTGAGGAAGGGGAAGAAGTTTTTGTAATGTTTATTGTAAACATCATAGGTAATTGTTTAAATAATATTTATTAACTTTTATGAACATTACAACTAAGGTACATGTACAGCATGTAAAAACCTAACCTTCTACCCCCTTGGCAGCGTTGCCATTACATCTTCCTTTTTTTTTTTTTTTAATACATGTAACTGTCTTTAAACCTATCTGGTAACTTAACATTTCTTCCACTTCTTGTGGTTACCTTTGTTTCACTGTCACTTATACTACTAGAGACATTATTATGTTCATGACCATTTTTAGTTACAATAGATTTATCTTCAACAACCTTAGATACAATCTCTTTCTCAACAAGGTTTTCGTCTATTTCATTTTGAGGCACAGTTTTACCAATGTCACTATAATCATTTTGTGATGCTGGTAAAACACTAGAATTTCTTCGAAGAATACTACCCTCACTATCCCTAACTAAATAGGATCTGGGTGCATCATGCTTTTTGATAATAGTTGCTGGCTCCCAGACTCTATTTTTACATATGGTAACTGAATCTCCTTTATTAAATTCTTTTCTAGGTTGTGCCGTGCGATCATAATAATGCTTATATTTATTTTGCCTATTTTCTAACTCTACACTCACATTTTCTTGCACCTTTGGAGTTAATAGTTTAGTGTGTGTTGGTATTTTTGTTCTAAGCCGACGACTAAATAATAATTGGGATGGAGACACATGTAACCCTGTTATAGGGCAATTTCTATATTCCAATAATGCTACCTCTATATCAATATTAGCAAATTTACATTTTTTTAAAATACGTTCCGCAGTCTGTACAGCTCTTTCCGCTTGCCCGTTACTTTGCGGATATCGGGGGCTACTAGTTCTAATTTCAAAATTCCATTCTTTTGAAAATTTGGTACATTCATATGACCCAAAAGGAACATTATCACAAATAAGAATTTTAGGAATGCCGTGTGTAGCAAATAAAGATTTAAATTTACCTATGACTTCCTCCGATGTTTTATTACGCAAAGGTAATATTTCTAACCACCTAGAAAAATAGTCCTGTACTATAAGGTATGATTTTCCACCAAACTCACATATATCAGCAGCTATTTTATTAAATGGCAGATTTGGAATTTGATGCGGTATTAATGGTTGTCGTACATTCGAGCTTTGATAGTATTCACACACTGAACATTTTGTAATACAATTCTCTATATCTTTGTTTAAACCTGGCCAATAAACCAACTGTCTTGCCCTGCATTTCGTTTTTTCTAAACCAAAATGTGGCTCATGCAATAAATTTAGTACATACTTTCTTAATTCTAATGGCACAATAACTCTAAAATTTAAAAACAATAATCCTTCTTCAAAAACAATTTCATTTTGCAACTTAAAGTACACCTTTAAATTATCAGGAACCTCTTTTATTGATTTTGGGCAACCTTTAACATAGTAGTTTTTTAATTGCTGTAAATTAGGATCTCTTTCAGTAGCAGTCTGAAATTCTATCCTTTTTTCTTTAGTTATATTCAAGCTCCAACTAATAGAATGAACATTTTCAACTAACCATGCTTGATCTACAACCGGTGAATTACTAATGCTATAACGAGACAAACAGTCAGCGATGTGCATTTGTTTACCTGGACAATATTTTAATGTGATGTCATAGTTTAACAATTTAATCCTCATTCTTTTTAATCGTGACGAGCTTATATCTGCAATAGATTTTTTAAACAGGCCTATAAGAGGTTTGTGATCAGTAATAACAGTTATTTTCCTACCATAAATATAATTGTGAAATTTTAATGTTGCAAAAACTATACTTAAAAATTCCTTTTCTATTTGCGCAAAATTTTTTTCTGTATTTGTTAAACTTCTAGATCCGTAACTTACTGGTTTAAATTCCTGCATTAAGCAACACCCTAACCCATGTTGGGATGCATCTGCTTGAATTGTTATTTCTTTGTTAGTATCAAAACTTACTAATGTTGGAGAATTTGCAAGTACTTTCTTAATATTTACTAATGCATCATCATGACATGGTAACCATTCAAATACAACATTGTCTTTCAGCAAGCCCCTTAATGAGCTAGTCAATTCTGACAAATTACTTATAAATGGTCTTAAGAAATTTAGCATGCCTAATAATGACTGTAACTCTTTTTTAGATTCGGGAGCCTTTAACCCCTCTATTGCCTTCACTCTCTCAGGATCAACTTTGACCCCTTCACTTGAAAAAATATGCCCTAAATACCTAACACTTTCTTGTTTAAATTGCAACTTATTCTTGTTAAATTTAACACCCATTTGCCTTGCTCTCTCTATAACTTTTTTCAATATTTCATCATGTTCTTTTTCTGTATCTGCACTAATTAATAAATCATCAAAATAAACCGTAACTCCTCTTATATCATCAAAATTTTTTTCGTTAAGGTACTGAAAATATTCAGGGGCGATCTTTATACCAAATGGTATTCTATGAAATTTATAAGATCCAAAAGGTGTGCTAAAAGTACACAAATCACTCGAGTCTTTTGTCAACTCTATCTGCCAAAACCCGTCTTTTAAGTCGAGTACTGTAAATACTTTTTTGTTACATAAATTTGTCATAATTTCCTGAACGGTGGGAATTAGCACATTAGGGATACGTTTCATTGCTAAATTTAAATACTTAGGATCTAAACATAATCTAATACTTTTATCTGGTTTTTCAACAATTATTAAATTGCTTACCCAACCTGTTGGCTTTTCGACCTTACTAATTATACCTTTACATTCCAGTTCTTTTAATTTATCTTTCAATTTGTCTTTTACTGACAAGGGAACTCTGCGAGGTGGGTTGACCACTGGTTTTACATCATCTCGTAACTCTATACTACATTTCTCATAAAATTTTCCCAAGCCCTGAAACAAATCATGATTATCTGATATAAACTTATCTTTGTCATTCAATACAACCATTTCCACTCTATTAATTAAATTTAATTCTACGCAAGTCTTTAACCCTAAAATGGGATTAACGTTTCCTTTCGTTATCACAAAGTCAGCTAACACTTCCACTTTTTTACATTTACACTTTAACTTCATAATACCTTCAGGTTTTATTTGTGCTCCACCAAACGCTTCTAATATTAAGCCGGTACGTCTAAGATCCACCTGGTGATTGATTTGTTTGAAAATCCGTTCCGGAAGTATGTTTACCTGGGCTCCACGCTCCACTATCTAATTTAAATCGTACATATTTATCTTCGACCTTGACATTTTCATTCCATGAAATTTCGTGTACGTTTCTTGTTTCAATCGTACTTAATACGGCAAGTTCCTCGTCGTCTTCGAAATTTTCTCGTACATCTAGTTGCCTGACATTTTTCTGACTGGTTACCCTACAACTCACAGCAAAATGATTAAGATTTCCGCAAAGCCTGCAGCGAACTCCGTATGCGGGACACTCCCTTGGTCCATGAGTTCTTTGACATCTTTTACATTTAAATTCTTCTTTGCGATTCGAACTTTGATTTGAGGTGTTACCCGTTTTCTCCATTGGCTTCTTGTTTGCAATTTTATTTACACTTCGCAGTTGTGGGTCCTTGATTTGCTTCATTTGCTCCTTTGTTATTTCGAATGCTTTGCATATTTCAACAGTTTTCTGTAACGTCAAGCCCTCGGTTCGCAACAACTTTTCTTGTAAATTTAAATCTTGCACTCCCAAAACAACACGATCGCGTATCATTTCTTCATTAAGGGTTTTAAAATCACAGGTACTTGCTAATTTCGTTAAATCAGTTAGGAATTGCTCAAAACTTTCACCTTCACATTGATTTCTTTTATGAAAAACGAAACGTTCATACACCACATTTGTTTTCGGCAAGCAATAACCCTCGAATGCTTCGATAACTTTGTCGATGTCCTTGCGGTCATCGTCACTTATAAACATTGTATTAAAAACTTCTACGGCCTCTTCTCCGATGATATTTAAGAATATAGCCACTTTCGTTTCACCATCTTTAGCATCTTTCCCGGTTGCCTTCATAAAAATTTTAAAACTTTGTTTAAACTTTCTCCAGTTTTCCGCTAGATTTCCTTGTAAACTTAAGTTATTGGGTATTTTATATAATTCCATTCTTGAGACTTAAAAAAAACTTGAATACTTGAACAAAAACGTGACACGTGATGATCTAACCTCAACTTGCTTGTAATACTTAACAACTTTTATACTTTTATGAACATTACAACTAAGGTACATGTACAGCATGTAAAAACCTAACCTTCTACACCCTTGGCAGCGTTGCCATTACAGTTTTAGTGTATACCCTGAGAGGAAAAGAGTCCAAATGGAAGAGAGGGAAGGTCATGAAGAGGATTAGTGCTGTCACCTATTTGGTACTTATTGACTGTGGTATAATAATATCATTGAGTTAGAAAACTAATGGAGGGAATATAATGGTAGAGGGGGTAAGAATTTTTGTAGGCGGAAGTTGCCACAGATAGAGACGTTGAGATAAAAGGGCTAAACTCCGTACAATCTGCGCATGCGAAAGAAACGTCAATGTTGCAATGTTATTAATTAAAATGTAGGTTAGATTATTGTTTTCAATGTTTTCATCACAGGCCGTTATAATGAATAAACATATTCGTAAATCGTAATGTACATTTAAACTCGCACTTTTGAGGTTGTATACCAAGAGCCATGTTTCCCTGCAGCAGTATAAATTCCGAAAAGGACAGTATAAGCCCTATGTTCACAAATCGTAACCCAAGACATTTCAAATATCTACGAATCGCTCATAAACCGGACGGCTACTACGATGATAAAACTGGAACGCTCCTACTGGCATAAATATACAAATTTGCTTTCCTACCGCCTCCAATAAGATAGCCCGATTGTAGATGGCAATCGACACAAACAGGCCGTCACGTAACTTCATTGCTCGTGCATTACTTCAACGGACCCGACACTCACCGCTAGCACGAAGGAATGGGCCATCAAAACCAGGCTGTATAAGACCATGCACCAAGTCATTGGCGTACGTGAATGTCACACGGTCACGTCCCTGCATTCAATTTAATGTTTGCTACTTGTAGATTTCAGTTGTTCGTACAAAGATGCCTTGCAAGCAGTCCGACAGATTTTATGTGCGATTGCAAACCCGAACACAACGTCAGTAAGGTCGCAAAGTTTCTAATGTGCTTCAAGATTTCAATTTGAAATTGCCAATTCACTATAACTAAGGTGCCCTTTTTATTATTGTGTAGTTTATTATTTAATGTTTAAAATATTGGTAAGCAATAAAAAGTTTACATATTTATCAAATTTATTGTTCTTGAAACCCATTAACTTCTTAAAAAATCAAATAAACGGTTTTTCATGCAATCTAGAAATTAGTAAAAAGCACCTTTTTTGGAAGAACCTTTGAGAACAGGGAAGCATCTCGGGAAACTGAACGTAGGGCTTTCTATCACTTCATTGGAGCGACCCAATACTCAGCCTTCTCTTTACAGAAACTATGGAAGCACAAGTACAAATAAAACTTTATTGTAAATTATGCAGCTATCTACCTAATAGGTACACAATTTAAGGTCGATTCACATTATCTGTCAAGTCAGATTATATCCCACGGTTTTGGTAATCTTTCTCTCGTCCACGGCTCTCTTGACTATTCCGGCTCAGACAATTTCAAATTGAAATCTTGGAGCACGTTAGAAACTTTGCGACCTTATTGCCGTTGTGTTGGGGTTTGCAATCGTATATAAACTCTGTCGGACCGCTAGCAAGGCATCTTTGTACGAAGAACTGAAACCTACAAGTAGCAAACATTAAATTGAATGCAGGGACGTGACCATGTGACGTTCACGTACGCCAATGACTTGGTGCATGGTCTTATACAGCCTGGTTTTGATGGCCCATTCCTTCGTGCTAGCGGTGAGTGTCGGGTCCGATGAAGTAATGCACGAACAATGAAGTTACGTGACGGCCTGTTTGTGTCGATTGCCATCTACAATCGGGCTATCTTATTGGAGGCGGTAGGAAAGCAAATTTGTATATTTATGGCAGTAGGAGCGTTCCAGTTTTATCACAGTAGTAGCCGTCCGGTTTATGAGCGATTCGTAGGTATTTGAAATGTCTTGGGTTACGATTTGTGAACATGGGGCTTGTACTGTCCTTTTCGGATTTTATACTGCTGCAGCGAAACATGGCTCTTGGTATACAACCTCAAAAGTGCGAGTTTAAATGTACATTACGATTTACGAATATGTTTATTCATTATAACGGCCTGTGATGAAAACATTGAAAACAATAATCTAACCTACATTTTAATTAATAACATTGCAACATTGACGTTTCTTTCGCATGCGCAGATTGTACGGAGTTTAGCCCTTTTATCTCAACGTCAGATAAGCTTGTTTCACAATTGACGCAAACGTAAACGCCAACGGAAACGCAAACGGTAACGTGAACATGAACAAATTCGCAGTCTCACAATTAACGTTACGCTAAGTTTTGTCACGGAATATTTTGTTTATTAAAATGTGTTCTGTGGTAGTTGAACTAACCTAAAGAATGTTTTTCTACACACATAATTAACAATTCATCGAAACCTGGATTATCGCACATCGTCACAACTTATCTTTCGTTGATCTTTAAAGGTTATGTGGCTGGATCGCAAGCGCGCGCATGTTTAAAACGCCAACGGGAACGGGAAAGATAAAAGTTGACCAACTTTCGCGTTTGTTTCACGTTTTCACGTTCCCGTTGCGTTATATGAGAATGGAAATAGTAAATATTCATGTTTTAATTAAATGCTCACGTTCACGTTCGCGTTAGCGTTCACGTTGGCGTCAATTGTGAAACAGGCTATAGAGGCCACTCGCGTGGATAGGTTCCCGTGAAGGTACATTTTGGCCGACATTATTTGGCACATGAAAACGCGGGTCCTGTCACTGTCAGTTTTCCACCAAATTCAAATTTTATTAAATTTGCCATTTTAAACCCACTAAGCAAGGTCAGATTGTCACAAATAAACAGCAACTTTACAAATGAAAGTGCAAACATGATGCTGTATTTGCAGCAACATTCTGGCAAACTTGTCGCAAATAGAAAATCTTTGCTCCATTTAAATTTCAACTGCAAAGTTTAATTTTGGAAGCTCCTAGAAAATTACTGGCAATTTAGGCTAACTTTGCGGGAAGTTTGCAAGCGATAATTCACAATTGTGTTAAACATTTTCTTTTGTACAGTTACTGAGAGTTTATGAAATAAAGTTTACTATAACTGTTCGATGTAAACTTACTGGCAGGTTTCTTTCATCGTTTACATAATATTTTCATATATATATATAATAGGAAATAAATAAATTCATCCACATTATATTTATTTATTTATAATTCATAAGCCTTTCTTCCACACATGATATAGTGATATATAACATTGTTACATTAGTTGTTATTGCCTCCATTTTGCTTCTCCCTATTGTACCTGGTTTTGGAATGATTAAACCAAGCCCTCACACACACCTCAAAGAAATGGTCAGATAGATCCGGAAATGTTGACTTTGCAGCTCCTAATATACAAATTACACATTAATTAAAATATTATTTGCTGATATTAAGGATACATACGTTTAATTACATTAATTGTTTGAGTATCTGCTAGTCTTACATTACCACCTTTTCCAGACCAACTAAAGAATTGTCCTAAATAATTAGTAAACATCTTTCCAATGCAGCGGTATGTGCATGACTTGCTGTCATTCCCACCAATAAATTTAAGAAAATGAAGCTGAAATGACATCAATTATATGTAAAAGTAATTGTACATATATAACACCTACCAAAGAGTTTTGCATTCGTTCATCATTGACCAGTTTCTCTTCTAACTCTTGAAACTCCATCATAGTGCTTAATGGTAAATTTGGAAGATTATTATTATTGGCATTAGAAGTACATATTCCAAAACTACCACCCTCAGCTAACATTTTTTCTATATTAACAAGTCTTTCCAAAACCAGATTAAGTTGAACTTTCATTTCCATCACTACACTCCATAAATCGTCACAATTTCTTTGGCTGATTATTGTAATGTCTGCTTTGTCTATTAACTGTTCTATGGATACTTCATTGTTTGTCATGTAATGTTGAGATTCACTATTCTCTTCTACAAAGTTTGGGTTTTCCAGTGAGTGATCCGAGTGGTATGATGAGGTCGAATCTACATACCAGAGGCTGGTTAGTTTCAGACGGTGAAAAGTTTCAGATGTATACATGCATACAATGTATAGAGAAAATTATAAAAATAATTTCACGATAATATATTAATTACTCACCATCACGATCACTATCATGTTTAGGCGGCGGAGAAATCGAATCATCTTTGTACTTTGAGTTTTTCTTACTCTTTCTCTTCATATTTGTGTTTTCGTCACTTTCATCAGATGTCAATGTCTTTTTTTTTTCGGAGTACAATGCTTCCTTATAAGTTTCTGAATGATAGATAGAAATTAGGAAATATTGGTAATTGTAATTGCATAAACTGACCATATCTTCCTAATATTGAAATATTTTTAAGAGTAATCCAGTCTTTTTCAGGTGCCATTTGATTTGCAATGGCCTTCCTCTCGATACCTTTTTTTGCTGGCCATTTGCATTCGTCTCCTGTTACCCACGATAATGGGCAACTCGAAACGTATATGGTATCATTCAAAGAAAACTCTATTACCCCATAGAGGAACTAAAATAAATAATTATTAAATATCTAGAAACAAATAAAAACTTACATGTATATTACACGACATTAAAAGTATGTAACAAAAAAATACACAAAAAAAATTATAGACGTTATAAACAAAAGACCTAGTTATAGCAGGACTGTATAACGTTTATACAGTTTGAATTCAAACTACATAAAAATATCAAAACACATTATTATTAATAAATGATACAAAAGTATTCTCAAAAAGAATGCCTTTGGTTAAAATGTCATTGATTGGTAGCAATTCAAAAGACTCACAAAGTTGGCCCACTTTTCCACAGTAAAAACGTTTAGAATCGAAAAATGTAAAGCTACTTTCAAATGCTTTGAATAGTTGGCAAATAAAAAAGATTTCATTTGTTATCACGCATTGAATAATTTTATTAATTTTTAATACTTTACAGTCCTTTGTCACACAGTAATTATTCTTGGGTCCGCAATCTAAAACAATATTATTAAATTTTATTTTGCGAAAACTTTTTACGAGTTTGTTTTGCAACAATGACTCAAAATACATGTCGTTGTCATATTTCAACTCAATGGTAGATTTTTGACATTTTGATGATATAATATGATCTCTTTTTTCATATTCCCTATTGATAAATTGTTGTAACGGTAATTTAGACGTCTTCAAAACGGTTTTAATGTGACTCATATAATTTTCATATTTAAATGCGGAAAATTGGTCTACAGATCCATAAAGAAGAACATCGTCACTTAAATGAATGAGATTGTGAACATTATGATTAATGTATTCGCAACCGTAAAGTTTTTGAAAATTTCGAACAAAATAAATCATGAGATCTTTAGCATAAAGATTAAGCTGTATACAAAGACTAGGAGTCGACAATATTCTCATTGCACAATGTAATGATAAAAAATGTTCAAATTGTGATGACTTAATTTGATTATGTAGTACTAATGGTCCAGTATACAGTAAGAATTGTCTATATTCAGTAGCTTTCCATCTCTCGATTTCTAAAATTGTTCTCGGTAAACGGCTAAAATCATTGCTACTCATATGCTGTCTAATCATTTTTAACCTTTCATCGACAATATTTAAATCAGTTTTATTCATACGCACATTAATGCTTCCACGTATCCAAAAAAACAATAATTTTTTCATAACCCCAAGACATACCAAGTGCATGTAGTCCAAGGGAAATTGATTTACTAAATTAACATCAAGAGATAATAAGGGCGTTCGACCAGTATGATAATCCTCATACACATTATTTCGAAATTCATGATCAGTTCGTAAACTGCAATTTGTGTCTAAAAAACACATTCTGTTGCTTATAAACTCTCCTTCTACAATGCACTTTGTACAGCTATGGTATGCATTGTGCCCTTTAACACCAAGAACAAATGCTTTAGCAGGTGCGTCACAGATAAATTTTGCAAACCTAACAAAGTAAATTTTATTTTGAAACAATATCCCATTTGTTTTTATAGAGCTATATTCTGATATGAGTGTATCTAATAATTCAGAAGGAGTACTCGGTTTTTGTCTACCGCAATACACTCCGATTACAAAAGGGGAGTTGCATTTTAACATTGTTAAACAACCCAAAACAGGCCAAAATTGGTTGTTAGAACTTTTTGATAATGGCAACCCATCTATGTTAATGTCAACCTCTAAAACATTATTACTCATATCATCGGAAAGACACATTTTGTGGGAATTGAGACTATACAAAATACTATCTACTATGCCAAAATGATAATATTGGCCATTAATGCAATCAGTTACTGTGTGTTTCCGATGAGTTTTCAGGAGTGTCCTACAATCTGATGGAAGGCTCAAAAATTCATTAATGTCATGTGGTTTTTTCAAAATTGATAAAAGATTATTGAAATTTTTTTGTGAAACATGGCCCGCAACCGCCCAATTAACCAGGTCTTTTGCCAAAGAACACTTTTTTGGAGATGAAGTGTCCAATAAATTATTTGAATTATGTGACGACACATGTAGTGGTTGTGGTATTGTTGATTCCATAGTCGAGTTTTGAAAATGAGATGTGGAAACAGTTTCTGTGCATGAAGAGTGTATTTGTGAAAGTGGCAATTTATTGGATAAAATAGACGATGAGAGCATTTGATTTGAAGTGGTAACATGAGGTGAACATGTAGATAAAGTTGCATCTTCTACAAAGTTTGTAGTTTCTTTTGATGTATCTGTAGAAACGGAGTGTAGCAACCTATCTGCATCTTTCTTTTTATATACATGATTATTTGAAGCCAATTTTATTTGTTCTGGGGTTCGCTCTCTTATAATTTGACGAACATATAATTTATTCATACTGCCGAAAGATTTGTAGTGTTTGCGCTATAAAGAAAGAAATAGGGAAATTAATAGCAATCACACATACTGGAACACATCACTATATACTCTCCCTCGTACTCTCCTAAACGCCCAACAACATTCACAAGAGATGTAGTGGGTACAATTAGCACACATTCAAAAAATAAGTTACATGATTTAAGTGCATAAGAGACCCAAATTTAAAAGTTTCCTGTACCACTTTTAAATGGACATTGAGAGGAATCTGGTAAAATACCATGTATGAAAAAGAACTCCCCAGTTAAAAAAATATTCCATGACTGTTTTCATGGAGTTACGTTACTTGGCAAACGCATCTTCGTCACACAATCTTACCCGCAGTAGCACACGATATGCTAATATCATGAAGGAGATCGAACACCATTTAGTTTCACGTAAATTAAATTATCATACCTATTCAGTTTCATTTCATAATATTACAGAAATAAATAGGTAACCAGCGGTTATTCGAAACTAGGGAATTCTTTTTCGGACACTCCGTATTTAATATGCATACCTTTTTACTATAACTGCAGCTGCTAGCTGTCTGAGGCTGATCAGAATTATCCATTTTAGGTGTAGTAGCTGTAGAGTCCTAACTTCAAACAGAAAAGCGTACTATAATTTTGTAGTTAGCCCTTCGGCATGTTATTACTTACCTTATCATAAAATTGCACAAATCGGCAAGAAATACTTTATTTATGCAAAAAATAAATGCAAATACGGCCCACGATGTTACGAAGCACTAAATTCACAGATCAACCACCGTAAACTAACTACCATCAACGAAATTATCCCGCGCAGCGTGTAAAACAGAACCACAGCTTACTTACTATAAGTAAGCTGTGACAGAACCTCAAAGTATAGTTCAATTTACAATGTACGATTTTATAGCCAGATGTACAAAGCCACATACCAAATGCAAACTTTGGAAATGAATTACAAATTTGATTTTCTAATTTTCCAGATAGTTTAATGTGTAATTTTGTCACAACTTATGTATATTAAGTTATCTTCGTTATTTTCCTGGTAAGATAAAATGTGAAAGTTTATAGTAACTTTCGTTCATATAAAGTGATGCAAACTTAAATAGGTAAACTTACAGATACAAGTCAACAGCAAAGTTTTTTTTGCCAAGTGATATATAAGTTGCCTACAAACAATTAACGATAAGTTCACTTCTGGAAGTATTCACCAGTAAGTTATCAACAAAGTTAAATTCCTCAACTTGTTGATGTTAAGTTTATAGCGACGTATCAAGGTACTTTCCAATGAAAGTTAACAAACGGAAAGAAAATTAAGTTTGCTGTAAACAATTGTAACTTAGCATGTTTAGTGGGAAGTACCTAATAATTTCGGATCGGTTTGTGCTCTGGTTTATATAAATAACTAACTGCCGCATAGTGTTTTTATCACACGCAATTTTGTGAATTGAGAAAGATTAGCTGCGTATCATGCAAAATTTCTCATAAAGGGAAGAAACAGGGCATTTCCTTTCATCGGTAAGACATGTCATTTATCATGTTGTAGGCGAGGTTGTAGGTACCTTGTTTATGTTTCTTAGTTTTCCAAATGAACCAGTACTTCGAGCAAAATGGTTACCTAACATTTGTAAATATGTTAGCGGACATCCGGTATGGATGATGTCATGTTCTGCAGGACGGCCGAGTGTGGATCCTACGGGGAGCGACGCACAGGCGGAGGACGGTGGCGGTAACAACATAAGAGGCTGCGGAGGTCGGCACTGAACACAGTACACAGCACAGTGAGCAATCGAGTAACGGAGAAATGCGTTGTATTAAAGCGAATAAAAGTTGAGTCAGGAAACCTTGCGTTTTATTAAGGGTATTTCACCCCGAAACGTTAACATCAGAAGTGGGATGATCCTGTGCATCCTGTGGTTAATCAAAGTAAAAACAATATAAGACTTAGGTGAAAATGGCTGACAAAGAAAGTGATAATCGTGACGTTCCCGTAAAAGAACAGAGTAGGTTACAGGATTCGGAGGGAGAAGAAGTGTTACCGAGTCCAAAACGTGCAAGGGTGCAGTGGCAAGAGACATTAATAAATTTGTTAGCTACCCAGCAACAACAGCTTGACGAACTGACGCGAGTTCCGTCGGAATTGGTGGTGCGTTGCTTCAGAAAGAAAATGGTGGTGTTCAACCTGTGGCTTATTATAGTCGTAGAACTACTGATTACGAGTCTAGGTACCATTCCTATGACTTAGAAACATTGGCTATAGTGGAAGCAGTCGAACATTTTCGCGTGTACCTGTATACGGTGTCCATTTTACGGTGTATACAGACTGTAATTCGGTGCGAGCAACAGATTTACATCCACGCGTAGCGCGCTGGTGGATTAAGTTACAAGATTACGATTTTACGATCGAATACCTATCGACCCGGATGTAAAATGTCTCATGTGGACTATTTAAGCCGTAACCCTGTCGATAGTGAGTATAATGAGCGTGTTTTGAAAACCATAAACATCAATAAAATGTCAGACATAAAAACACTAAAGGAATTTCAAAACAATGACGCGTTTTGTCAAGAAATATTTAATAATCCGGATAGTAACCCAAACTTCAAAATAATAAACAATGTGGTTGTTACCAAAACAGCAGCTCCAAAGTGTTTTGTACCCGTAACCCGTCGCTGCTCGTTTATTGACAATGAAATTATACCACGATGAATCATCTCATATAGGGTGGGACAAATGCATCGCAAAAATGAGAGAAGATTTATTTTGGACAAAAATGGGACAATGTTTGAAAAAGTATATTAGGAATTGTAGCGCATGTGTCATGGGGAAATCACACACCGGTCGTCGCCAAGGATTATGGCAACAGGGTGAGAAGCCAGACGACATACTGGATACATGGCACATTGATCACGCAGGACCCTTAGTAAGATCTAATGGCTGCACACAGATTTTGGTGATAATTGATGGATTTTCGAAACTTTGTCAATTACAACCGATACCAAAGAAAACATCTGAGCATACAATTCGAGCATTATTACCTGTATTTGAAGAATTAGGAAGACCCAGACGGATCGTGGCCGATAGGGCAGCAGCCTTCACGTCAGTTATGTTTAAAAACTTTCTCGGCGAACAGGGTATTCAACTTTATCACATTGCAACGGGTGTGACGCGCGGAAATGGACAAGTTGAGCGTGTCATGCGAACCGTTTTTAATTTGTTGCGGGCAACACTCACTGCGGATAAGGAAAGTACTTGGACGGTTGAGATACCTGCGATAGAGGATAATTTAAACTCTACAGTACATTCGGTGACTGGTTATGCGCCGGCAGTACTGCAGTTTGGAAGAAACCCAAGACTGGCTGCTACGTTACAGTTTTTGGCGGACGCATCGCCGAGTGATAATTTTATAGACCCAGACAAGGCCGTCGCCGAAGCTCGAGTTCGAATGAAAAAGAGTGCAGGGTATTTCACCCCGAAACGTTAACAAATATATCTCAAGAACAGCTCTCGAAATTTACTTTTGTGCTCACAACGACTGTGATTTCGACCAAAGGTTGCACCGGAAAATGTACATCAAATATCTCATTAAATATGCAGTAGGTACTACCAAAACATATACAATATAATATATTTTTTTATATAAAAAACACATGGTGTAAACACAAATCTTACAACGTATGATATCATAAGCAAAATCATATGACAAATATGATTATGCTTTAGACCGCGCATACAATGGTACTCGCGTATAAAAGAGTGTTCCCAACATGCTTAGGCAACACATCATACACGTAAAGGCAAAGCGCGAACCATTGCATAAGAATTGTATTCAATGGCAAAATGAAATGTGCTTATCGACATAAAAATGTTTATTGGCTTTTAAACAATACCTACTAATTTGTTGTATAAATGTCTAATTCTCACATATACTTCGTTTATTTTCCTATTTTCGTAATGAATACGTATTGTAAAGAATACCTTCAGTATTAAGTTCATTCACTGCAGCCTGCAGGACATGATTATGATATATATGATGATGATATGATCTTGATTCTTGAAGTGCTAGAAACAAATTACATCCGTGGAGATTTCTGCGCGACTTACAACAAAGACGCCGAATAAACAAATTTATATCTCTGTTACACTATCGCAAAGTTTGTTTCTCAAAATATTCTTGTGTTTTTCTGCTGCTTTCATTCCATTCTACATAACTATACCTAGATGTAACTATCCGGTAAAAAAATACCTTATACGAAAATTTACACTGGATTACATTTATTTCATTATTACCGTTTATAAACTTTTCTGAGAACATTATGTGTCTAGAAAGTGTGCGCTTTCGATTCAGCAAGGAAAGTTTAAAATATACTGAAAAACTAGCCCAGTTTAGCGATATAATCCCAGCAAAACAAATAGTGAAGATTGGAGCGCGAAAGTTCTTGCCTTTACGAGTTCGGTGGGTGGCCTACCATGTTGACAACATACAACTTGAGCTATGCACGGTCATTGGCACGGTCTAGTAGTAACAAGTCTCTGGTTCCAAGTGCTGTGTTCCAACAAATTTCACTAATGAGATTCCATTTCATATTATTCGATATCGGATGAATGTGAATTCGCTTTAGGTAAGTATTGTCATTGATTATACACAAATCAATGGTATGTCAACTATACAATCGTAGCATTGAATTATAGTAGTTTGAATGGTTTGGAGATTCAACATTAACGAGCGCCCTCAGAAGGAAGTTTTAAATTTACCGAAGAATGTGAGATGTCACAACGCTGCAGAGAATCTTTATGCCTTTGTTTGAATTTTGATATTTGACGTACGTCAATTCCAGTAATAATAAATAAATAACTTGACCGTGCTTGTAAATTAAGTGATTCATAGTTGACGCGATGTTAAATAATACGCGAAAAAATGCGTTTTGTAAATGAAACCAATTAACTTCGATTAATTGGAGCAATGTTCTAAGCGAAGTGCGTAATTAGATCGGAAAGGCGTAGTCCCAAAATATTTTTCCAAGAGATGGGCGATAAAACTAACAAAACGGTGATTGGGGCGGGGACTGGTATTCCTTCTAAGCCAGTCCCTATGAAATTATTTGCTACATGGGAAGTCGATAGGACTCCTTCCAATTGCATTCCAAGGTAGCGGTATTTATTTCTCAATGTTCTTATTGTAACTTTCGCTTACAGATTATGTTCCCTTACATTGTCTCGATTAGTAGTTTTACGACCACTCGGAGCAGATTTGGCTTCCATATCTATTGCTGTTAAAATGCAATCTAGTAAACGCACATTACGTTCGAACGAACTGTTATTACCGCCAAACGGTTTGCTTGACACCGGATTAGAATTGACTTTCAGTTTGCAATATCCGCATTTCCTTAAGCGAGATGGAAATAAGTTGCACATTCTATTGCAACGCAGGAAACGTTACAAAAATCGCACAATGCTGGGCTTTAAAACATTGGCGGAAGGAATTATTCGTATGGATCAGGTAATAACAATTAATGTACTTTAATATGTGTATTGATATAAAGTCGGCAGTGATTCATTGCGCAACTTCTCTGAATCAATATTTACTAGTAAGCACACTTAATAAGTAGTATTTATAAAATTAGTAAGGAATCTTGGCTTGTTTACTGGGATTGTTGGCACATTGTCATTATGTTATTATAATTGATACATAAATCGTAATGCTGGTTTTTACAGTGTGATCTACTTCCTATAGTCCCTACATTGCTCCAATGCAGCTGCTGTATCTCAATTCCCAGAGCATTATATATTACATACAAACATTAACAGCAATGAATTCACAAAGAGACAGTTGCATGAAATGCACATCTTATTACATGTGTTTACATTGTTGGTTTGGAACAAGATTGTCACAACTCAAAAAGTGCTAATTTTCAGGAGACAGGTTTAAAAATTTGACCATTATATATTTTTTTATTATTCCGGGAGAATAAAAGCTATGATAAAACAAATTGGTCATTTTTAAGAAACCTTTATGTACTTTGATTGGCACACAAAAAATCGAGCAAAAAATATGTTTTAAAAACACCTTTAAGCTTAGGTTTCATCCATAATTAGTAGTTGTGACAGTTTTCCTGAAAAGTTCTTAAGGTGGTGTTTACATTGAAGAATTTGGAAATCACTCCCCGCACCGCCCGAAATATTAGAATAGTGTCGCTATCCACCACAAGATTCCGCGACCTACCATATTCGAACGTAAAAATAAACAGATAAGGCGCAACTGTCGAGATAATAATACACCGAGGACGATCGCTGTAATTTGATATCTGTAATTTATAGAACTGGGTTTTTAGCATTTGTATTCAATTCATATTCAGCTTTCTCGGTTGCTGACGTTTACCGCTATTAATTTCGTTGTAATTAATTGTATTACCAAGTGCTTTATCTTCCCAAATAAGTAAAAATACCTATTTTCTCTAAAAATAATAAATTGACCTTGTACGAAATTGAATAGGGAATGTCAAAAATTGTCGCAATTTTCTTTGCACCCTCGTTTAGGCATGCGCCGTCTAAAAATTTTCGAAAAATTGGCAAGAATAGTTGTGTCTGCTACATCCTATATGAGTATCTAGGATGTAGCACCGAATTCTACTATTTGCGCTTAGATCTCAAAAATTTGAAAATGGTATAAGTTCTTAGCGCACCTTAGCAAAAATTTGTAAATAAAGCTGTAAATAATTTTGTAAAAACATTTCGTTCAACAGTGCATTTATTTTAATAATTCCGGGCTGCGGCGTATTCCATTTCATGCTCGCGAGCAAATTTTTGTACTACCTACTAAAGTACTAACCATTTCATTTTTAAACCTTTATAATTAAATAAATGAGTTAGATTATAGACCTATAATTATAATTCATTGCAACCTCATGAAGGATATCTACGAACCGAAGAACTAGCGAAAATTTTGCAGGATTACATCAGCCTCTGTATTATCAAAATCCAAGATTCTATTTCTAAATTGACTATCATGTCATTATAAAACAGTTATTAACGAACTTCTAGCGAGTTTATAATTTTGCGGTTCTGTCCGTCTGTCCGTCCGTCGGTTAGCACGATAAGTCATAAACGAATGGACCGATTACGGTGAAATTTTGCAGGTGGATTCTTTATCAAATTTGTAGATCGGAGTTCATGAATTGGTATGTAGACCAAAAAATAAAGTAGGCCCTTTTGACACCTCCGTTAGTTATGAACCGAATTGCATGAAATTCAATATGCGCATAGCTTTAACCATATAAAACACAATTCCAAAAGTTGAGCCTAATCGATCAGCATGCACAGTGCCCTTTTCGCAGGGGCGGACTGGGTACTTACGGCCCAGGTGTAATTGCATAGGTTACCGGCCAATTTTTTGCTTCATTTTAAAGTATTCCTTTCTCGAAAATCAATTAGAATATAGTTTTTTTTTAATTGCAGAAGAGAAACGTGTTAATAATTTATTAATGGTGCAAGAAACTAAATACAGCACATACTTATAAATAGTGCTAGGATTTTAATGACGTTAAAAATCAGCGAAAATGCAAAATAAAAAATGCAATTACGACAAAAAATTCGCAAAAAAGACATAAAAATTTAAAAAGATGAGATTTTAAATAACAAATAAATTTATTGATGAAACTGAATAAGACGCAAAATTTCAGTGGTGGTTCATTTCCACTTATCACTTAGCGCATCCCAAAGAAATTTAATCCCTTTTAGTGGGCATTTGTTTGTGGACGACTTAAGCACGTTCCAAGAAAACGTTAACTAGGCATTTAGCTTACAATGGAGGTTCAGTGGTAGAGAGTTGGGCTATAAATCCGGAGGTCGGGTGTTCCAACCTGGGTTGAGGTGAATTTATCATCTGCAGAGATGAGAATTAGACCTTCTGCAGAGACACCTCTAAAAAGCATTATGCGGGTCACTCTGTAATTGGGCGCAAACCTGTTGAGGGCCCAGAACAAGAGAGAGATAATAAATAAATAAAATAATAAAACGTCTGGCATAAGAACGCATTGACGATAATGCTCTGTTGTAATGTAATGTTGTAATGAACTTGAGAGAGATATATTCTGTTTGGTTTATTTTTTATTACATATCATGAAATGCGAGTATAGGTACAGGAAATTGAGTTTTCTCGACACAAGTAGGTATATTTAGTGTTCCATCGCGTTAGTGCAGTGAATTTTTATTTCGTAAATTAACAAGTAAAGTCGTTACATATTTTACATAAATTCGTTTAATTATTAAATGTGGTCACTGTGAAAACTGTTATTACTTAAGTAGTTGCATTCACAGTTTACCAGGTAAGTAAAAATCACTGATCTCGAAAAAGAGTCGCGCGGGAAAGTTATAGTTTGTCCAAACCAATTTATTTTGATGAGACCTTTCATTAGAATACCGTGAAGGGTAGTACATGCCCCCCCCCATTTTCTGAAGTTTAACCACTAAAGGCATGCATATGCATATGACATCACTAATGACGTCTGCAGACGTCTCAATCGCCCTTTGTGAGTACCCTATTCCGACAATCTGTTCTTGAGGTATAAGGGAATATACCCGAACACGATAAGAGGTCGAGGCTATGGTTTGTAGAAATTAATTCCTGTCGTTGAGCCCTTTCATTAGAGTACCATGAAGGATAAAACTAGTTCCACTCCCCCCCTCTCCACCCAGTACTTTGATTAGAGGACAGAAAGAAGGGCAGTAGTTGGTAGAAAACGGAAAACCGCTCCTTTCGTTGAGACCTTTAATTAGAATACAATGAGAGATAACATTAATTTTTAACACCCCCCTCCCCCTCGGGCCTCGCCGCTCACTGATCTCGAAAAAGAGTCGCACGGGAAAGTTATACTTTGTACAAACCAATTTATTTCGATGAGACCTTTCATTAGAATACCGTGAAGGGTAGTACATGCCCCCCCCCACCCCCATTTTGTACAGTTTAACTTGGCACCACTAAAGGCATGCGTATGCAAAATCTGATACCAATTGGTTATCGTATGTAAAAGATATGCTCGCTTTACTTTCAAAAACAGCATCTCAGGAAATAATTCGTATTTCAATAATACAATACAATATCAAATTAAAATTCCATGCGTCCTACGTACGAAATTCAAATTACGTACTTTCGTTGAATAAAATGTACTTTGCCCTCTAATGACGTGAGCGACCTCCCACTTATAATTGCTAAACTGTGTAGCATAGAATCGCACCCGATAAAGATGAATACATTTGGAGATCATGACGTTGCCGTGACGATGTACCTTAGCTCAATAGATGTCGTCAAGAAATTTTCTTTCCACAAAAACGGCCTTTAGAGTCAACATTTTTGGTTGAAATAACATTCATTCAAATATATAATGTTCAGACATTTGCATGAAGCAAAAATTATTTAGCTAATTCCTGTACTTACACTGTTATTTAAGAAATAAGAATCTTAAAAATTAGCCATATTTATCTTCCATTTTTATCCCACACTGATAACAATTTGTTACAAAATTTACTTCATTCACAAGTTTAAACCTTTAACTACAATCGATCGTTTCCAGAAGGTCATTCTTTTACTTCGCAACAAAGTTATTGTGGAAATCGCAATGACACTTTTGTACTAGTTTACCATACATTGTAAACGCCACCTTAATAGTTTTCTTCTAATTTATATTTTTTTAATTAAAATAAAACACAATTAATTTGAATATAAAAATAACTTTTAATTCTTAAATTAAATATAATAATTAATAAACAAATACAAAAGTTAAACGAAAAACCGAGCGAAAAACAAAAATATCAGAGTTTGTTATAATAATCAAAATAGTATATAGGAATGACCCTTTTTTCCGGTTTTTCAGAAAATAGCGACATTATTCATTTTTTCTTTCTTTGACCTATTCCGACTTTTTGTTTATAGTCCAAGAGCTCAGTAGGAAAGTATACCTTGAACGCCTGGACGATTCTAATAATTTTCATAGGATTCGCCATAAAAAGTTGTATTAGAATCGACAACGGTGCCGGCGAAAATCCTGCCGAAAGCAATTAAAAAAAAATTAACTTCGCCCCTTATTTTTGGAAAATGTACTTTATTGTCCCGGACGTTCAGGAAGAGTACTAAAGGGTGCATATGGATGAGTTTTATCGGAAAAAGTCACGGTGCCGGGGCGCAACTTGCCGCAACCCTTGGCACCGCGACTACAAATGGGGTGGTAAATCGTACTAAACTACCTTTTTCTCCCGGACCAAAATGACGTATATGAAATATGTAGCTTGCGATTATACGAATATAAACAAGTTGTAAATCAGCATATGCATGATTAAAGCGCATTTTTGGTAATGCAGGTCAGTATTTTATTAGCGAAGTTTAAAATTATCGATCTCACGAGTAATTTTGGCTTCGTTAAATAATTAATTTTATTTAATTTCAATTCACGGTACGTCTTCATTTTGTAAAACAAATCACAAAGTAAATAATAAGTTTTTATACTG